CAATTAGTATATAATACGGTATTGTTATTTTCGATTATAAAAATCAAATAACATAATAGATTTTAAAAATTTAAATAGTTTTTATAAAACTTGAGTTAGGATCTAACAACTTTGAAGATACTTCTCAAATTTCTTTAGAATCTGCACGTATACATGTAATCTATACTAATATAATAAAGAGGTAATGTTTGTATGTATGTAAGTTTGGATGCAGCAGGTAATCTCCAAAACTACTGATCCGATTTCAACGAGATTACCGAACGAAATAAAAAACGTAATTATTAATCGTACGTTAATTGAAATAAACAAATTTTTTACATAAAAAAACCCACGTGGAATGTTCCTGTCGTTCCTTGAATTCAATGTCGTTGTTGTTATCATTTTCGCTTCTTCCAATAAAATTTCTTAATTCTCAAATGACTGAGGTCGACGTTTATACATTTTTATAATTAAAAACCGATTCTCCCGTCAAATAAAAGTAGTAAGAAGTTACTCACCAATTGCCCTTTACAAATTTAAAAATAACAGTGGAGCCACTTATTATTTAAAAATTAATCTCGTAAACATCGACATCACCTCATCAATTTTAACTTTTTAACAAACGTTTGCATTGAAAGTACTTAAGAAACACATTTCCATTCAAATTCATTATTAGTAACAATGCAAACATTTATTTAGTTAAACTTTAATTACCTGTAATTTCTCAACAATTACTGGTTTCATTTTAAATTATGTAAATTAATCTACAGTACGTTTCTAGTACCTGACAGTTTTACTACCGTATTTAGTTACATTTTCTATACTATTATTTCTATAAAATACTTTCAATTTTAGATTATTATAATCAAACGTTTAGTTAAACTTTTGTAAACTATCATATTTAATTTAATTATATTAAGAAATTCTTCATTAACAATGTTTAAAAAAAGAAATGTTTTGCTTCACCTCAAACCCTTTTTGTGTACAAATGTGTACAATGGAGAAGTTATTCGGACAATAATTTAGTTAAGAAATACATACGTACCCTACCATAAACATAATTATTCATAGAATTTATAAAATTACATAAACTGATTCATAAAAACAAAATGGCTGTTAACGAGATAGTTAAATAACACACAACACGGGTTAAGCCTGTTTAATTGTTACAAGGTTTTGTTCTTGAGTAAACCCTGTTAAAGTAATTTCATTTTTTCAGGTACTACTTAATTTCAACACGTAAACGATATTTTTGGCAAAGAATATAAACGAAAATTACTTCCATAGTTAATTGTAATTATTTATTTCGTTTGCGAGTTGATCCAACAGATTTTGCAATGCCTACGTTCATTTGTATGTGCAATCGTTTGTCGTTGAACACAGTCTGTGAAGTTTCTCATACGTTAGTTTAACGTAGCTTTTATCGTCTAATTTTAAGAGACGTATCCAAAATAGAATTATTACTTATTGTAATAACTGTTATTCTGGAAACAACAAACTCCAATCGCAAATTGTACGCTGGAATTTTGTTGTATAACATGAAAATGTTTTTAAAATATAAAGCAAAAACGATATCCAGTTTATCATAGTAATTGATTGCCCATATAAGAGCGGCGTAGAGTAATACACATGATATCATTAAACGAAATCATTTCATATAAATAGAAGCAGAGATAATTTAATNAGAACAATAAAAACACTACACTCAACAAGCCACCAATAAAACTCAACTGCCTAACCTATAACCAAAGTCTCCTTTTAATTTGTTTTTAAAAAAAAGCGCTTGACAAACTTGCCCCGCATGCCGAAGTTGCCCTGGTCTTCCCTATATTATTACAGCATACTTTACATCTTGTTTGAAAGTATATTTCTTTTAAATATACTTTCAAAGACCTGTAAAAAGAATGTTCAAAGCCTTCTTTTTAAATTCATTCAGTCATCTTCTAAAATGGTTTTGTATTACAGATTTTTCTGACATTAGTCAGTTAAAGTTTCTAATTAAGAATTAATAATAATTAATTGTTTTATTAATTTTCATTCTGATTAAAGATACTTTCTGAGAGTAGTCAAGTAGACAATTATTTGTTTAATAGATCGAATTTATATTAACTTATGACGTAAAGTTCGCTTAATTCTTTCATTGGAAAAGTATATTTAATGTAGCCTATAACAACTAATTTGATCATAAACTGCACACAGAGAGATAGCGTCATTGCATTACAGCCAGTTTTTATATGAAAATTGAGCATATACGTTATTATTTTCATTTATCCATTTTTCAAGTAAATAGTCAGTTTAAAAAAATCAAAATTATGTATTAAAAATTCATTTTTTAGTTAAGAATTTATCATTGAAAACCTTAACCCTATGACATCGAATTTACGTTTCTTAATGTGACATTGAAATTAGCTGCAGTTGTACAAGATTAATGTTTCGTCATCACTCCGGTTACTTCTATCACCGAAGAGAAAATGGAATATTATGCGCTAACAACCTGAATGTACAATAAATAAAAAAAAGTCTAAAGTCGTTACCAAACGACTGAAATACAGACAGGGTAAAGAACTCACATATATAATATGCATTTAAAAGAAAACATAAAAATTAAACTAAAAAATAATAATTCTTGTTTTACGAACTTTTGAAATTTCATTACAAACAACCGTTGAACAAATATATTATTTACGAACAAATGCTTGTAAAACGGTAATATGTATCGAAATATCTTCTGGCACTTTCGAAAATATTTGTTTAAAAATTACTGTATACGATCCTTAAATATGAAATTATTTTTAAAAACGTTAGTGGTTAATTAAACGTTACAGTAAACAGACATAGAATAATTAATTAATTAAACATTAAATTTTTCGCAAACGCACAATTGATTAAAATCATCTTTTCGTTTTTTCACACTCGATAGTTCGTAGTTATAAAACGCATCGAACAAAAAAGTAAAAAAGTTTCCAAATAGATTTCTACAGATGATTTTACTAGCAAAAAAAGCTAGGTTAAAAATAAATCATTTTTTTCCCTTTGTTTTTCTTTAGTTTTACTATTTATAAATAAAACAAATGTACACAACTAAGATTGTTCTTTACGTCATGAAGTTTATTACAAACGAATTCAATATATTTTTACTATTTATATACCTTAAATTATTTTCTATTAGCTCTTTAAGGTTAATTCCCCATTGCCTTTTTTCAACTTTTTTGAATACGCGACCCCTTTACAAGTTAAAAAAATTTTGCCGACCCCCAGAGCCATATTATAACTATGTAAGTGATTTTAAACACTACGTATTTAATTTTCTTTCTGTTGAGACGTAAATATTTATCGAAAAACCAATTGTACTGTAAAATAAACAGGCATAGCCTTCTCACTGAAATAGTAGTATTTGTTAATTGTAGTATAGGACCTAAAAACACTTGTTTTTTTTTACCCGCGCCCTACTGAAAGTCGCTACCCACAGGTTGAAAAACACTGGCCTAGCGCATTGAAATCCTTAAAGCTATTAAACCATCATTACGAAAGTCGTTTGGACCTCAATAGCGCCCGAACCGATTTTCACGAAACATTTACTTGTTTTTTACCGTTGACATCAAAATTACAAAGCAAGGAACTGAGAAAAAAATAAACTAACAGAATATTTTGTTGCAGCAATGTTTCTACATTTCAACTTTTTTTGTGTTGGATTAACGATGTCCGAAGTAAGACAGTAAAATGTCTCGGGGATATAAATACAGTAGATCCCCCTATAAAACCGTTTCCAATAGTTATGATTCCTATAAAAATTGTGGCAGTATCCGTAAACAACGGTAAAAATAACTCCTATAATACGTAAAACGTCATCGGGCAGCCGAACTACTTTCCCGCCGTCCATAGCGCTATGCTACGGACGGCGGATAAATTGAGTTCAGTATCATCTGTTCATATAATTATATATAAATTAGGTACTGTACATATAATTATATATTAATTATATATAAATTAGGTACTGTATATATAATTATATATTAACTTAATTTATTGTAACTTTATTATAATTAAATATATATTTTTCGCCGTCTAGCGTCACGCTACGGCGAGTTAGGCGACCTATCGTCTGTCCAGTACTGTAATTTTATACATTTCTTGTGAAAGAAACATTTCTTATTTAACGGCCATAAAAATTATTTATATTAAGGATGTCTCCAAAGGTCAACGAAGTTTTCGCAGAAAAATAATATCAGAAATCGCGGCCGCGGTTTGATGCGCTGTTCCGCGACGAAACCAAGCTTTAGCAACGGGCGTAGTCGAACGGTACACACTCGGTAAGCAATCCTACAATTTTTTGTTTATAACGTAGTTTATACGGATTATTTTCAAAAAAATATACGTATTTTGGAAATGTTGAGTCGAATTAGTCTAGAATCGATTAATTTTATGAAAGAAAACCTTTGAAACAGCCGTAGTCCGTAAACTATGATTCCTACAAAATTGATTCATAAAGAACGGAACGTATCTACCGTCTTATAGGGGGATCAACTGTAACTGCTTCGATAAATTCCTGTTTTAAAAGAAATGTTTAAAATTTGTTTAGGTTTATTTTTAATTTTGACGTATAATAGAGTGAAACTTGGAATTCAGAAATAACCCAAATTTCGAAACAAATTCGAAATATCGTTTCATAACAATAGTACAAAGTACACTTTTATTTTGTATTCTAATAGAAAGAAATGTAGTTTTGATAACAAAAAAACTCTCTCACAATTTCAAAAATTCTTTATTTTCATGACTTTACTAAAAATTATTTTTTCATTTCACGTTTGTAATACAACTACATTAAAAAGTTCCAAGAAAACGTCAAAAAGTATTAATAAATGGTAATGTTTGGAATTAAATCACTCCTAACAACTTTCAAACTGTTTACTATATTTACGTCAATTAATATTCTCTCTGCTATGGCGTTTAATGTGATAATTCAAATTACTTATGAAAGAGAACTTTCGTAAACAATAATACCACTTAATTAAACGGCTTTTATCCCGTGTGAATGCGAAGATGCCTTACAAGATTGTGTCTTCGAGTAAAGCTTCGTTGGCAATGGTAGCATGTAAAAGGCTTCTCTCCATAATGAGTCCTCAGGTGCCTTCGTAGTTCGGAAGCTTGAATGAATTTTTTTCCACACAACTGGCAAGTGAACGGCTTTTCTCCCGCGTGACTCATCCTATGACGTTTCAAGTGGTACTTCCTAAAGTATCCTTTGCCACAATTTTCACACACAAACTTCCTCTTCTTCATGTTGGCGAAATCTACGAAACAAAAAATGTGAAACTTCAATTTTTAAAAGTAATCGATCGTATTAATTACCGCAACAAATACAGAAAACATTACTTCTGCATTTCTTGATAGTAAACGCTTCACAGTAACTTAATAAATAAATCTAAATTCAATCAAACATAAATAACATTTGTAACGAACAACCCCGTGTTTGCATTACAAAAAAAGAAAATTGATAACAAGTGTTTATAAGTATTGTTTCGCAGAGCATTGACAAAAACTGTTCAAGGTTTCTTCATCGACACAATTATTCAGTAAATCTTTCGACAGAAATATGCTTTTCGTTCGAAATCCATTTTCTCAGAAGCAAATATTCACTTTCTTCTTACATTCTTGTAATTTTTTTCCGTAGTTCTTCAGGAGAGATGTTGGTTGCCCGCAAAAAAAAAAAAAAACATCTTAAAGAAAATGAAGAAATTAAACTATAAATAAGGAAGAATTAAGTATAATTTTACTTCGAAATTAAAAGAATATTAGAGAAACTTTGAAATTCTCAAGCAGGAATAAATTTTAAATATACAAATGATACTTGTCAATACCTAAGACGAGTGTTGAAAAATCTAAAAAAAATAAATGAGATTCAATTAATAACGCTTTTATTAATTAATTTGTCTAAATAAAGTAATTCCATCCATCGAGTATTTTCACTATGTTAATGCCAAAAGCAAATTCTTTGACTTAAAAAACTCATTTGATCGTACAATAGAAAAAACGTAACTTAGACTCAGTTATGTCTTTAAAACTGCGTACAAGAAAATAATAAAATCTTCTATATTTCTTAATTTAAATAATAAATAAACGACAACACAATGGGATCAGTTATTCTAAATATTAAAATTAATAAATTCTAAAAAATTGTTATTTAAAAAAATTTTTTAAGAAATACAAATGAAATTAACTTTTTTTTTAATCCGATTTCGATAGAATTAAAAACAGAGATGGACTAGAAACTTATTTACTGTTTCTCACTTTATTTTTCTTTTTTCTTCCTCATATATTTCGCTGATCAGCCTCATCAGTGGATGTTACAATTTTACATTGCCAATACTTTTATACTCTATTAAGCTATCCCAGCATGCATGAACACATGGGCCGGTATTTAAATTAATACAATTTACATATCCGTTGATACAATAATGTTCTATAACGCGTCTTTTTACAAAATTCCTTACTTTGTACAATATTTTAATATTGTACAAAGTAATTATTATCATTTCTCTTTACTGATTTTATAATTAGTCTCTCTATTTTGATTATATCTCTGTATTTAGAATAACCGATCTTATTGTTTTATCATTTATATATTATTTAATAAGTTTTATGAACAGAAAAATGGGAGTAGAAGAGTTGAAGCAGCAGATTGCCAGTTTAAAGATCAATAGAAATTATTTTAAGTGTTTCTTGCGTGAGCAACAAACTCCTACAACGTTACAGTTGCCAGAATCTATTAAGTCCAGCATCCGGTATGGAGATATAATCAAAATAGAGAGACAAATTATAAAATTAGTAATTAAGAAAAAAGGTAAACAAATATTTTTATTGTCTAAAAAATTTAAATTAAAAAGGAGAAATGATAATAATTACTTTGTACAATATTAAAATATTGTAGAAAGTAAGAAATCTTGTAAAAAGACGCGTTATAGAACATTATTGTATCAACGGATATGTAAATTGTATTAATTTAAATACCGGCCCATGTGTTCATGCCGGAATAGCTTAATAGGATATAAAAGTATTGGCAATGTAAAATTGTAACGTCCACTGATGAGGCTGATCAGCGAAATATATAGGGAAGAAAAAGGAAAAATAAAGTGAGAAATAGTAAATAAGTTTCTAGACCATTTCTGTTTTTAATTCTATCGAAATCGGATTTTAAAAAGTGAATTTCATTTGTATTTCTTNCGGTATGGAGATATAATCAAAATAGAAGGACTAATTATTAAATCAGTAATAAAGAAAAAAAGGTAAACAAATATTTTTATTGTAATTTAATTCGTTTTATTAAGTTAATTCTTAAAAAATTTTTTTAAAGTAAAATGTTTTAGAATTTATTAATTTTAATACTTTTATTTAAATTCAGTAAATAATCACTAAATTTAGGGAATTTGTTTATATATTTAGTACATTATCGAAGAAGATGGAGATTATATCGCACGTAATTGAAATTACAAAAGAACATTTACTTGAAAAAATCCACGTGAAACGTTCATGAAGTCAATGTTCTTGCTGTTATCATTTTCGCTTCATCTTATGAAAGTTTTTCATTTCTTAATGACAGAAGTTAACGTTTATACCTTTTTAATAAAAACCAATTCTCTCTTCAAATAAATATAGTGAGACGTTACTCACCGCTTCATCCGTTACATATATATAAAAAATAAAACCAGTGGCGCTTCTTGACATTTAAACTAGTGATGTAACGAATATTCGGTTACTATTCGGTATTCAACCTATTTGTCGCTATTCGGCCGAATACCGAATACCTAAAAACAGGAGTAAGAAATAACAAAAACACAGTAAATTAATCATTTTGGTATTTAGATTTAATAATATCGGGTTAGTGTTGTTTGTTTATATTTATTTATAACTTATAACATACACACAAAAAAAAATAATAATATTAGTCACACGTATTCGCAATTTATAATTACAAAGATCAGCACACGTACACACCTATTCGTTCGAGAATCGTGGCACATCCGACGGTCTGACCCTGCCTATCCTTCTTTTTAAGCGCTCGTTTTCGCACTTTTCTTTTTCTTTACTCTATCGCTCTAGTCCACGTATTCCTATGCATACATCATAATACGCGTTCACGATACTTTCGATTCGTCACTTTTCCGTCGTAGATTTCCCATTTTACAATTACGTGACTCGTAGCCTGGTGATAACGGGGGAAAGAGACAGATAGGACGTCGGTATAAGTCACAGTTACTGTTTCACATATTCGAGACAGCTCGGTAACCCGAACACCCCCAGGCTTTCGCCCGTGCACGCTAAGTGACTTTCATTACAAGCATTTAGCTTTCCGAAGTCTATGACAACAATTGTTTGTCATTAACGGCCGCAAAGTTCGCGCTAATAAGCCGCCTCGACTTGCTCGATTATGTTATCAACTCAATTTCATATTTCTTTTCACATTTTCACTTCGAGATTCTTCTCTGTTCTTGTCAAGAATTAACGCGATTGGCGAAGCGTAGTGACAGCGGGCCAATAGAGAGCGGAGTTTTTGCATTATGTGGTTTGCGCGCCAATTTTCGTACGTGCGTTAATCAAGCCGAATAGTTTGGCCGAATATTCGGTATTCGGCTTGAGGCCGAATATACTATTCGTTGCAACACTAATTTAAACGAAAAACTCGTGAACATCGACGTCATTTCATTAATGGTATTTTTTTTACAATCATTCGCATTCGAAATGTTTACGAAACATATTACCAATTAAAATTCGTTATTAGTAACGATGCTAACATTTATTTATTCCTTAACATAACTTTTATTACTTGTTATTTTTCAACGATTAGAAATTTCATTTCTAAAATACGTAATACACAAGTTATGTCAACGTTTATAAGAAATTCTCTTTAAAAAAAGTATATTTACTGCATTGGAAATTTTTACCTTGGAAGTATTCGCTATTATATTATAATATTTGTATTATTTTATTAATAATTGTTAATTTCTATTTCATTTATACACGTTACTGGAAGTGCCAAAGTTCTATTCGAAAGAATATTAATACCGTTAATGTTTATTTTATATATTTATGAATATTTTAATAAATTGATTTTGTATTAGTCGGCAAATATTATTCGTTTTATATTCTAAATAAAAATGTATAGCGTGGAAATTAAAAATCTAGATGTATAGACAATAACAAATAATTAAAAGGACGTCGTTTTTTAGTTAATGAAAATGAACTGTTTGCGGTTAAGAATCAGTATGATTAATATTATCAGNAGCAAACTGTGACTTATTTTACATTTATTTAAAAACTGCCAATTCGTTATTAACTAACAACACTGCATTAACAATGCTGCAAAAATTTTAGCAACACGAAAATAAATGTTTTAGTGAAAACGAGAGAAACAAGAAATATCCGTATCGAAATTTCCCTCCAGAATTATGCTTTTCTAGGAAAAAAGCAAGCAACGATCGGCTCAATTTTCCGGCAAAATTAAAATTTTGTTAGTGTCATCTGTTATCATTTTTTACTAAAAGATTTTGCTACTTTCAACTATCATAAAATGGCAAAAAGCCCAATTCTTATAGATAGATCTTCAAGATAGATATGAAATTTAAAAAACTGTGAATGCTAATAACGAAACAAATTATCATTAATTTAATATGTTTGACAGATGCTATCAGTTTCATGAGGAAAAAGGAGTAATCATGCCAAATAGAGAAAAGTGACAAATTTGTCGAAACGTTGATTTCTGACAATTAACATAAACAACACCCGGACGTAAATCGAACCTAGACGAGATTGCATCAGAACTTTCCCTGATCGTTCCTCCTCCAAAAGAAGTATAAAAAGGGGTCGCACCCGCACCTCGAAATAGTGCTACGAATCGCGAGTTAGGAAGCGCGTAATTATCCTAACTGGTGTCAGTTCCTGACCGGAAACAACCATGGAACGATTTGCGTGTTTCCGTTAAATCATAAGCCATCTCCTGACAAAATGCCGGTAAACAGAGTTGAGCTCACGGCTCTACACCCCTCGGTTCTCACACTTGGGTTCATACTTCGAAAATTATGGTTCGATTTATGTCTATACATTCTTTACTGTATCCATATTTTAGTTTGAAACCAGTTGTATATGCAGTTATTTTTGTGTGTCCTTTTTGAAATATACGACATGTGAATTAATAAATTTTTATTTTACATTTCCTATATGAATATTTCTTGTTTGCCATATATTTGGCTATTAAGACATCCATATTTTACCTTCGCTATACCAATATTTACTTTAC